CAAATACGTAGGTTTGTCATCAAAAGGGTTTTTATATCAAAAACATATTAATCATTAAATAACTTCTTACCACTAAAAATAAGGCAAAAGTAGTTTTATGTAGCAAATAATCTTGGCTTTATTTTGAGACCAAATTCAACTGTATACAAGTTTAGCATTTTTTCTATGAAAACTGCCATGTCTCCTTTTCTTTAGATTTTTTAATTTTATTCGAATTGGCGTGCCGTTGCCAAAAGTTGTATCTGTTGTTATGTAGTAGATTGTTTTTTTCTGAACTACTTACTTAAAAGGTGTTTTTTGTTTCCATCTTAATTAATATATAAATTACGTGTCACTTTTTTTTGTCCGTGATGAGCTCCTAAACTACTTAACCGGTTTTAATCAGCACACCGTGTGAAGTTTGATCCAACTTAAAAGATAGGAAAGCTTTCATCTCAATTTATAGTCGCAATTATTATTTTATTGCAAATTTTATTACTTTTGGGCTTTACGAAATTCGCCGAGTTAGCTAGTATTTATCTATGCTATATATGTATAAAGAGAGAAAACCAAAAGGAAAAAATAATCCTTATGATTAACCCTTTCGATGGTTTTGTTTAAATACATCATGTGTTTTTTTGAAGTGAAAACTTCTTTACATTGTACACTTTTTTTTTGAATGGGTAAAAAATGTTAAACTCGCGTCACGTTAAACACGTGGACTGATCGCATCATGACACACAATAAAATTGGAAAGGTTGTTGACTTTCAATATATTGGACGAAACATAGTAATATTCTATTTTATCGTATTATAATAATAAGTCTCTATCCACGTGGCAGCTTTATTGCGAAGAAGATGCATTTTTTTATAATAGATGTCGCTAGGTGCGCTTAAACGTAATTCATGTAAGTTGATTTTTCTGAGAGATAAACTTTTTTAATGTAATATAAATTGTCATGTTTGTGTACGATAGCGCATAAATAAATATTGTATTCTACCACATACATGATACTTTAATACTGATAATTAAAGCAATTCGTGAAAAATTATTCCCTGATGATGATGCAAAAATATTTTGGAATTTGGTTTTGAATAAAAAAAATTTGGTTATGAAAAGAAAAATTTGGTTTTTTATTTTATTGAATAATCTATAAAAGGTAGATTCATTTTCAATGCCCATTCAAGTCGTGTAGAGCACGAGATCTGTGTTTTTTTTCTATAAAACACATTATGTCATTTATTGGTCATTCGTGATTGTATTGCCTATGAGTACCATAGATAAGATAAAACTCATGTTTAAGTTGAGCACTGTAATGTATGAGGGCGATTATAATGTTTGCTAAACTGATATAATAATATAGCACTTTTTAAACTATGAGATGTTGAGGTGCTCGATGGCGCAAATGGTTAGTGTGTTCGGCTGCAATCGTTGAAGTTAAGCAACTTTCGCAGTGGTCGGTCATTGGATGGGTGACCATGAAAAATTTACTATCGCACTTTAAGACGTTGGTCACGGCTGCATCTGCAGTCGTTAGCACCTACCAATCCTCACTGGGCCCACGTGGTGGTAGGTATGGGGCACTATGGCGGTGTGTTAACGACAGCAGCACTAGCCACGGTTTGGGGTCAGTAAAAACGCACAAACCATCATCATCATCAGCCTATTAATGTCCCCACTGCTGGGGCACAGGCCTTCTCTATGGATGGAAATGGGATATTTGGCCATGACCCACCACGCGGGCCCAGTGCGGATTGGCGGGTGCTAGCGATCTAGCTAGCGAGTGCCGGCTAAAGTTGTTCACGAGCACGGTTTGAGGAACTCGATGACGCAAGTGGTTAGCGCATTCGGCTGCGATCGTTGAAGTTGAGCAACTTTCGCAGTGGTCGGTCATTGGATGGGTGAACAAAAATCTTTTATCTCGAGTTCCTCTTTACTTCGGAAGGCACATTAAGCCGTTAGTCCCGGCTGCATCTGCAATCGTAAGCGATTCATCATCATTATCAGCCTCTTTATTATTTAGGCCTTCCCTATGGATGGAATAGGGAGATTGGGCCATGACCCACCACGCGGGCCATAAGCGGATGGGCGGGTGCTAACGATTGCAGATGCAACCGGGACCAACGGCTTAACGTGCCTTCCGAAGCACGGAGGAACTCGAGATAGTAAATTTTTGGTCACCCATCCAATGACCGACCACTGCGAAAGTTGCTTAACTACAACGATCGCAGCCGAACGCGCTAACCATCTGCGCCATCGAGCTCCTCGAGCGATTAGCGGTTGCCAATCCGCACTGCTCCCGCGTGGTTGGTCATGGCCCAATCTCCCTATTCCATCCATAGGTAAGGCCTGTGCCCCAGCAGTGGGGACATTAATAGACTGATAATGATGAAAAGGTTAAACGGGGTTTCAAAATTTGTATACGGACGAAGTCACGGGGGGCCGCTAGTAATTCGTATTAGTGAGTGATTTATATCGCAATAAGTTTTTTGACAGTATTAAAAATAAAGTGCCAATTGTTAGCATCTGTGTTTAGAATGAATACTGGCAGGGGTTTTTACAATTTTTACAAAAAAAATATTCATAATTTTGCTAAAACCCCACGAAAAAGATTATAGTTTTCTTATCTATTATCACGTGACCCAAAACGCTTGGGATTGGCGGAGCCTAAAATGACGTCATACGCACGTAAACTTCCGGTTAAAGTGACATTACATTGTATCGTTTGACGCTTTAATAACAGTCGTGTGACGTCACACACTAGTACGACGCCATATTGTCCAGAAAAACGTTTTCGCGGCAACTTGAAAAATTGAGTTTTTCGAGTTGGTTATTTTGACTGAAACACACAACAGAATGATGAATATCCACTATTTACGGACTCCATAAACATTAGTAAATAAAGTGAGATCGCTTTCTAAAACTTGTCAAATACCCTATTAATATAACGATTTATTTATTTATTGATTTATTTAGAGTTAAATACATATTTCATTATTTTTAAGTTTTTTATATTTCTTTAAGTTATTAGATATTTTATTAAGAGGTGAGGTAGGCAATGTTTTTACCATACAAACGTTCTCGACATAATATACCTCCTTGATTTTTATCATTAAAGAAATTATTTCCATTCATAAAATATAAAATAATTGTACTCTTTCGATGCTCCTACGTCTTCCTCTTTTCGATAACTTGGGTTTCAAAGAAACTAGAAGCCCTCAGAAATCATCATCATCATCATCAGCCTATTAATGTCCCCACTGCTGGGGCACAGGTCTTCCGTATGGATGGATTAGGGAGATTGGGCCCAGTGTGGGTTGGTAGGTGCTAACGACTGCAGATGCAGCCGGGACCAACGGCTTAACGTGCCTTCCGAAGCACGGAGGAGCCCGAGATAATAAATTTTTGGTCACCCATCCAATGACCGACCACTGCGAAAGTTGCTCAACTTCAACGACCGCAGCCGAACGCGCTAACCACTGGCGACATTGAGCTCCTCAGAAATGCCAACAATAAAAATATCACCGCTAAAGACGTCTACTGTGGAGATTCAATATGCATTTCATTTACAAAAAAAACAGAGACCTACTTACTGATTATTCTATGGGTAAAGTTTCTTTTATAATGCGATTCAAATAAGAATAGGAAAGCCAATGACCTCTATTTGTCAAATGTCACTTGAAAAGTACGGTTTGCAAAAAAAATCTTGGAACCCTTTTTTAGCACTCCGCTAATTCAAGAATAAAACCAAACATTTGTAAACAAATATTGATAATTAATATCGGTTGATATTTTTTTCACTTATTGAGCCTTTGGCCATGAATAGTTGATAACCTAAATCGTCAACCGAATGACATTTTAAGTTGCGTTCAAAAACTCAATTTCAAACTTTCGCTTAATACATAGGATGCATGCTCGTATGTGGCCTAGTAACAGTGCATGATTATTCATAACTACTCCGGCGGTAATGCAGAGATGAGCGGAATAGAAGAGCTAGATTCTGATTAATGTTTTTTCTCACAGTCTTAATAAATAAATAATATTAAAAATCGGTGTTTTTTTTCTCAATCTAAGTAAATAAATGTTATTAAAAAAATCTGATGCTTTTTCTCACTTAAACTTAGTAAATAAGTTTTATTAAATAAAAACTTTTGCTCACTCTACCTTTTTGGTTTGAATTGACAGCTATGACATCACAATATGGCGCCCAGTCGATCCTATTCTTAGTTAAATCGTATTTATACCTAAATCTAGTTTTCGAGGAGGAAGTCGTCGAGATCTAAACCTCGAATTTAGCAATTTTTACACGCAATTTTCAGCATTAGCTACTGTTGTCCTTATCGCACGGTATTTGCCAATGTGGGACAGCAGTAGTTTTTGAAATACTCATTTCTCAAACGTCTCTCAGCTCGCGTCCGCTCTTAACGATCCATACAGTCTTAATATTTTAATGCAAAGTAATCATGGCTAATTAACTAACGTACCAATTAAATTAATGACTGTAGTAGCCGTACAGGAAAAAATAACTATTTATGTTCTCATACTACACCTGTGATACAGCAAGCTAAAATAAACTACCTGTAAATAATTTTATCTGCTTGGTTTGCGTTAACTTTTGTTTTAAGAGAATCCCGATAGAACCTAACATTTTTACGGAATAAAAAATATTCTATGTCTTAATCCAGGTTCTTAACAAAACGTGTAGCAGATTTTATCCAAATCCCTTTAGTAGTTTTTGCATAATTAAGTAACAAACATACAAACTTTCTCATTTATAACATTAAGTAGGATAATTATGTAAAAACTACCTAATACACCGCATTAATCCTACTTTATACGACAAAACATCATAATACGAAAACAATTGAATTTTCCAATCCACTAATAAATTCATTGAAACAAAACACTGCAATATTACCAAAATCAAACCTCGAAATCTGAGTTCCAAATAGACAAACTGTTCAATCAATAACGTCAAGTTGTTATTTACAAATAATTAAACAAACAAATAAACACTCACTCGCTCTGTGTGACACGTTAGTTCGCGACAACCACTAGTAAAACACTGAAGTGAGCAGACGAAACACGAAAGTGAGCCAATGTCAATGCTATTGTAGGGTGACTAACCGTTCAACCGAATGAGAATAATTTACAAAGAAATACTACTCGATTAACTTCGCGGTCGAGTGGCATCGGGTAGTGTGAACATTTATTTGGCATTCCACTCTTAAACATATAATTACAATAAGCTGTTTATTAAATCACTGCAAAATTGTAAATAGGTACCGTTAGATTATAATCTAACTCCCGGCATTGTAAACTGTCGAAAGATTGTGAACCGTAATTGTACTGCTTACAATTTAACGCATCATTTTCGGTAGATTATAATCAGTGATTAAACGAACTTACCTTATGTGAAGTTCTATCATAATTATACGAGATGCTTCGTTCGAAGAGATTAGTTATAAACAACTTGTAGTACCGCGTACTAGCTCGCCATTCATCCACTAGAGTTTAAATAGTAAATAAATATTTTGGATTTAAAAATATTTCTTTGCCTAAAAAAAAATAACATTCGGACGGCTGTATAAACACACTACCATCCGCTAGGGGCGCTGTCGTCATTTAGTTGAAAGAGTTCTACATCAACAATAGTTCGTCCTGGGCTTCTTAGAGGCGGGTGGGAACTAATCTCTTCGAACGAAGCATCTCGTATAATTATGATAGAACTTCACATAAGGTAAGTTCGTTTAATCACTAATTATACTTCTTTGCTTCGTTCTCGAGATTAGTTATAAACAACTTGTAGATTTTGAAAGCTATGACGAATTATTGTTGATACAAGAAACCTTACACCTGTCGAGGAACTTGATCAAAGGGTTTATATTAAAATAATCTTTATAATTATTTCTTTAATTGTAATTTTATACATAATTGTTTGTAATTGTATACATAATTAAGACCTTAATAAGGCATTTTTAAGTACACACCGACTTATAAAAACTAATTAACATAAGTTATTATTATTCAATATTGTTATTGCAAAACTTTGAGTCTCATTAACATCTATAACATTTCTATTGTAGAATTTAGCAAAAGCATTAGATTTTTGACTCCAGCCAGCAGTATTTTTAATTAAATCGACATTAACCCCCAATTTCCTAGCATTTGAAGTAGATGCGTGTCTCGTCGAATGAGCAGTGAAAACAGAGGTGTCAATACCACTTTCAGACAGTGTATCCTTGATCCATCTACTTAACGTTTGGCTTGAAACTCCTTTGTGGGGTTTTTTAAAACTTATAAATAATCTATTTTCTTCTTTGTTTCTTATTGTTTTAGTTTTTTCTATATAACTAAGCAAGGCGTTTGCCGGACAAATCTCTGGTCTAACAGTATAATAGGGAATTATAAGATTTGGTTGATTGGAACCCAATCTTGAAGTTTTCAGTTTATCGGGGATTTTTACTGAAATATTTAAATTACTAATACTTACATTTTCTATAAGTATTAAAGACAACGTTTGCACTCTATGTGCAGTAATCAACGCGAGCAAGGTAATTAACTTTTTTGTGAGCGTTTCTAAGTCGATATTATGGTTGGGATAAAAATTTGCTAAATAATCTAGTACTATAGAGGTATCCCATGTGATGTTGTATTTGGGGGTTGGAGGCCGAAGTCTGTAAAACCCCTTGAATAGTCTACTTACAATGTCATTTGAAGTTATTGCTGATCCGAGAATCAAGGCTAACGCTGAGCGATAGCTATTCAAAGTACCGTATTGAGCACCTTTATTATAAATATAAGTTAAAAAATTTATAACAAGATCAATATTTGAATCGTAGGGATCTGCATTACATTTTAAACAAAAATCAAACCAGCATTTAAAGGCACAATCGTATTGGCGCAAAGTATTGTCGGACAGGGATGCACATATGACTTCAACAGATTCAGGAGACACGTTCCTCCTCAAGAACGCTGTCCTGACAACCGCCCTGCCATGAGGGCGATCTTGGGTGTCTGCTCGTTGCTGTGAAAGGGAGATATCAAAGCCTTACATTCTGCGTCGAATGTTAATACATCTGAAACTAGGAGTTTTTGAAACAATGGATACCAGGGTTGTGTGGGCCACTGTGGAACGACGAGAATGCCTTCAGCTTTGTCCGTTATTATTTTTCGTAGTACTTTTAGAATTATAGAAAAAGGAGGGAATGCATAAAAAAACATTTTATTCCAATGTATGGTAAAAGCATTTATTGCATATGCTCCAGGGTCTCGGTCCCAAGATACATAGGTTTTACATTTATTATTAAGTCTGGAAGCAAAAAAATGTACTTGAGGGCTGCCAAATTTTTGTTTAATTTTGGTAAAGGCATTATCGCTTAGTTTCCACTCCGTATCCCTGTGATATCTACGAGATTCTGCATCAGCAATAAAATTATCTTTGGATGCAATATATGAAGAGAAAACATATAAATTACGCTTTTCACAGAATTGCCATATACGACTTGCTATCTTATTTAGATGGGGGAACCGTATTCCCCCCATGCGATTAACATATGAAATGGCAGTTGTATTGTCCACTCTTAACAATATTTGGCAATCACGTAAATTTTTAGCGAAGATTTGCAGACCAAAAAAAACTGCCTTCAGTTCTAGGTAATTAATATGTTGTAAACGTTCGAAATCACTCCATAATCCACTGGCGGTATTTTTGCCACATGCTACCCCCCACCCAGTTTTACTAGCGTCAGTAAAAATTTCCATTGCAAAAGAATCGGTTCTTATTGGGTTTACAGCGTAAGAACAAGCTTTCAACCACCATATAAGATCACTTTGAATTTTTTGGGTTGGTATGTTAAGTAACTATCGTAGTCATTGTTTTCCAATAGTGCTAGATACTTACACCTTTCTAATCTTTTGGTGTAAGTCCAACCATATTGGACTGCAGGGCAGGCTGATGTAAGAAGTCCTACTAGATGCGCAAAGTTTCGAATGGTTGTACGCTCCAGCTTCATGAACTTCAGTATTTCATTTTTTATGGACTGTCTTTTTTCTTTTGGGAGACGCACATGGAAGTTTTTACTATCCAAAATGAATCCAAGGTACTGACAAGTTTGACTCGGAATAAGAGAGCTTTTCTCCTCGTTTATTTGAAAGCCTAATGCTTCTAAGACAAACCTTGTGTGAAGAGTGTTTTCTATGCATTCTCCATAAGATTTTCCTATACAACAAATATCGTCTAAGAATATAGTAGAAAGAAAACCTAATGATCTGAGATATGCCATTACCGGTTTCATTAATTTAGTAAATACAAACGGTGCTGTATTTAAACCAAAAGGTAATACGTTAAATTCGTAAGTTTTTGATTGAAATCTAAAGCGTAAAAATTTTCTGAAATCTCTACAGATAGGAACAAAAAAATAAGCATCTTTTAAGTCTATACATGTCATATAACAATCTCTAGAAATTAGTTTTATAGTCGTTCTCATATCTTCTAATTTAAAGTGTTGCGTATCTATATATTTATTTAACGATTTTAAATTTAATATGAATCTATATTTTCCATTATTCTTTTTAACGAGAAAGTAAGAGGAAAGGTACTGTCCATCACAAGGTTCGCATTCGGATACGGCACCAGATGAGCACAAATCATTAATTGCATTATTATATAATACCAACTCTTTTTGTGAGTATATGGGTTCAAAAGGAACTCGTGTTTGCAATACAGATCGAGAGAAAGGTACTTTATATCCTCTTATCCAAGAAAAAATGACCGGATCATCAGTGATAGCACACCACTGATCAAAAAATAATTGCAAGCGTTCTGAACGCCTTACCGTATCTAACGACGGAATGTACGCGATCGCTGCTGCGTGCGCGACGCTTGCGGTGGCTGCGGGGGCGGCGGCGGCGGCGGCGGGGCACGGCGGCGTTGAGGAGGCGGGAGCGGCGCTGCTGTTGGCGCAATTGCAGGTGCACCCCCCTCGAAACGTCTCCCCGCTGATGGCAGCCTGCTCGCCATCGCGGAGGATCTCAAGTTTAAAGATCGATTAAAAGTTTTATTTTTTAGTTGAGAACTTGGAGCTGAGGTTCTTGCCCTTATTTCAGATCCTGACTTGTGAATAGACTTTGCTGCCTTTAAAGTGTCAGCGAGTTTCTCGCCGAATAAAAATTTATCTATTTCAGTATCATTGAGATGTTCTTTAACATCCTTCTTAATGCACGAACCGATATAACCTCTTCTTAATAATGACTCGGTATGCTGGACATCGCAAATAATACGTCCTGCATCAATAAGGAGTTTTATCATATCGGAGTCTTTGTGATCCTGAGAAAGTGCCTGGTGCAGAGCTTGGCCGATACATGAAATTGCTGCAGATATCTGCTTTTGTTTATTATGTATGGCGGTGTCCTTCTTTTGCAAGGTTTCGGACAGCGCGGCCTTTATTTCTAAGTTTAAGATTGGTGGATCAATTAGTTTACAGTTTTCAGGCGTTAAGTATTTCTCTAAAAACTCCTTTTTTACCATTTTTGATACACCTGATGTGGCTACATGCTCCCATGTTTTTGCTATGTTATTCTGAAGTTTTGGTCCGAATTTTTTATCTTTACTAGGTACATCCCCCAAAAAACTTAAAATTTCATCATCAAGAACTACTTCATTGTCTGAAGGTTGGTCACCATAGCTATGCGTAGGCGCCGGTATAGGTGGCGCAGGGTCCCTCGAAGTACTAGGTGTTATGCTCACCCTGTCCGCCACTAGTGAACGGAGCCTGGAAGCGTGCTCCGCATTGTCGGCACTGTTGAAATCATCACTGTCATCGTGTAACTCGTACACCGGTAACTGGTCTTCGACGTCTGCAATAGAGGCCCAAAGTGCTATCGTTATAAAATACTGTACTTTTCACAACTACCAATTACTTGTAGAAAAAAAAACCGGACAGCAGGTCATAATCAATTATTATTATGTATATTTTATTATTATACGCGAAAAAAATTAAAAAACGCGTTTTCAATAACAATTCTTTGTAGGTAGTCAAATACTACTCGGTTATAGTCACAAAGAACTATACACT